AGGTGCAAGAGGCGGGACCCGGCCTCGGCGCTGGATTTAGATCTCCCCTGCGACCTGGGACCTGCGCTTGTTCACCCCACGCCTGTTCACCCCGGCGGAACTGTGAGCATCCTGGTCCTTGGCTTCGTTTGCAGAGGAAGACTAAGGCTCTATTTAGGACCTGCTCAAGGCCACTGGAGCAGGTCTAAATCCAGGCCGGGCAGCCCCAGAAACCGGCCCTCAAACAGAAGGGAGGCTGCCCCTAGGCGATAACCCTCCGCCATCTCTTTAGCATTGATGAAATTTGCATTCGTCTGGTAAAGGCTGAGAGGCCTTCGCATCCTCCCGTCTCCCGCTCCGCTTTTTCTCCCACTGATCCCGAAGATCAGCAGATTCTGTCTGCAGACCCGATTCCCCTGTCTCCTCCATGCCGCATCCGCTGCACCTCCATCAGTTATCCATCGTTTTGGGGTCCGGAACCAGCCTCCTCTTTGGGCTCTTTGCTTCCCTTTTGCACCCTTCTTCCCCAGTGCATATTTACCGAGCTTCCAGAGCGTTATGTTACAAAGCAAATCAAGGCTGGCCATGACTGTGTGTTTTAAATCGCTGCACTTCGGGAGGCTGAGGCAGGAGGTCTAAAATTTAAGCCCAACCTGAACTACAGTGCGACTGTGACTCAAACAAAAGACTGGAGTTGTAGCTCAATGCGAAGGCTCTGAGTTCAATCCCCTGCACAACAAATAAACAAAAAATAAATACAATCGAACCCATGTCACAGTCACTGAAATACTCCCATTTCACTCCTAGTAAAATCCAGAGTCTCCCCCACAGTCTGCCAGGTGCTACCAACCCCAGCCTTCATCTCCGGCCAGCTCTCCAGAGCTCACTCCACTCCAGGCTCACTCGTGGAGAGCCAGAGGCTAGAATAACTCAGCTAAGTTTGAGAACCGCTGTTTCCGAATTTTCCATGGGGAAAATCTTCCGGTGAGACGTTCTGGGTTTTTGTTTGAAAAGGTCTTTTTTTGGGATATATAGAACTCAAGTCCTTGCGCTTGTGAGGCAGGCAGCAGAACCACCTAGCTAAATCCCCCCGAAAAGATCTTTATTTATTTAGATTTTATTTATTTATTTAGAGTCTTGCTATGTAGCCAGGCTCGGTATGAATTTTTGATTCTCCTGCCTCAGCCCCCAGAGTTCTGGGATTACAAGTGTGCTTCACCTCTGAAAGGGCACAAAGACCTCATTCTTTCTTTGTAGTAGTACATTTTTAGATATACATAATGATAACATTCATCATAGGGAATTTGTACCCATACATATATATCTTGCTTTTTTCCCCATTCCCTCCTTGCAACCTCTCTTGCTTTACAAAAGCTGTTTGCATTTTTTCTTGTCCCTTCTTTCCTTTCTCTCTCCCCTTCCCTTGTTCCTTTTCTACTTTCTTCCCACTTTTCAATACCTTTTATACATTTTCATCCTCATTTACATTTTTAGTTTCTCACACTAGAGAAATAATGCAGTTGTTAAACCTATGTGTCTGATTCATTTCACTTAAGAGTATGGTCTCAAGGTCCATCCATTTAGCTAGAAATGTCTCAAGCCTAACTTTCGTTATGGCAGAGTAGTACTTCATTGTATATAAAAAAAAAAACCCACATCTTTATCCACTCACTGGTTGGTGGGCATTTGGGCTGTTTCAAAGATCTAGCTAATACAAACAGTTCCTCTATAAACATGGATGTGCATATTATACCTGTATGATGCTTTTTTTTTTCTTTCTTTCTTTTTTAGTACCGAGGCTCAAACTCAGGACCTTGGACTTGCAAGGTAGGCATGGCACCAGTGAGCTAAATCCCCAGCCCTATGATGCTTTTAATTCTTTCTAGAAGATACCAAGAAGAGGGGTACGGGT